GGGATTGAACTCAGGCCCTTGTGCTTGCAAGGCAGGTGGCGGAATCACTGAGCCAAATCCCTGGCTATACTTTTCATTTTTTGAGATGGGTTTTTGCCTTGTATTAAATAGCTGACCTTGAACTCACTACATAGCCAGGGGCAATCCTTGTACCTAAGCCTCCCAAGTACCTCAATTACAGGTGTGTGCCACCAAGCCTGGTTTATTTGGTACTTTATTTATATATTGGGTTTCTCATATCAAAGAAACCATGCAATATTTAAGCTTGTGTGTCTAATTTACTTCACTTAATACATGGTCTCAAGGTGCATCTGTGTTCCTACAAATGTCTTAGGTTTATCCTTCTTGAGGTCAGAGTAGTACTCCATTCTGAATAAATAGCATTTTGGGGGTGCTACTGGAGATCAAACTTGAGTCCTTGAGCTTGCAAGGCAGGCAGCATGACCACTGAGCTAAATCCCTGCCCCCATATAGCATATTTTTTGGTACTGGGAATTGAACTCGGGTCCTTGCACTTGCAAGGCAGGCTACCAAACCACTGAGCTAAATCCCCGGCCCCTGCTAAGATTTAGTTGTTTCTACATCCTCTATTCTCTTCCATTAATCCACAGTCTGGTTTGGTGTGTGTGTGTGTGTTTGTTTGTTTGTTTGTTTGTTTTGCCAATACCATGCTGTTTTTATCATTGTAGCTCTGTAGTTTAACTTGAAGTCTGAGATTGAGATCCCCCTCCCTTCCCCTTTTCCTCCAGAATTGCTTTTGCTATTCTAGGTCTCTTCTAATTTCATATGAATTTTGGGGTTGCCTTCTTTCATTCTGTGAGAAATACTATTAGTATTTTGATTGGGAGTGTTTTAAATCCATGTAACAGTTTTGGAAGTTTGGCTATTTTTACTGTATTGGTTCTGTTGATCCAGGAACGGGATCTTTCCATTTTCTGAACGTCCTCTTTGAATTCCTTTCTCAGGGTACTATAGTTTTCATTGTCCAAGTCTTTTACTTCCTTGGTTAGGATAATTCCTAAGTATTTGATTTCTCTTACTGCTATTATGAAAGGTATTGTTTCCCTACTATCTTGCTCGGTGAATTTATTATTGGTGTACAGGAGCACTATTGATTTTTTTAGTATTGAGTTTGTATCCTACCATAGCCATTTGCCAGTTTTAGATGAGAAAGTTGAAACAGAGAGATTAAATAAATTGCTGAGGTGATACAGATAATAAATAGTTGACCTACAATTCAAACCCAAGTCTCCAGCCACACTATTATAGTTTCCAAGACTTATATGTCAATTATTATACCTCAACAGGTTCTCACTAACTGAATTTTGGATTCCTTCATTCTATATTTATACATTTAGTGTCCTAGCTTCCTTTCCTCAAAGAGACACATGCACAAAACAGTATGTCTAAGCACTTTAATATATTCTTTTTTAAAATCTTTTTTTATTAATTCATGTTTACAGTACATAATGTTTACATTTCTCATAAAGAGTTGGTACATGGGGGCTGGGGATTTAGCTCAGCGGTTCAGTGGCCTGCCTTGCAAGCGCAAGGACCCAAGTTCAATCCCTGGTACCAAAAAACAAAAAAAAGAGTTGGTACATGTACATAACACATCTTAATTCTTTTTCCATCCCCTTCCTCACTCCCTGCCCTTCCCTCCTCCTTCCATCTCTTGGTCCCCTTCCCATTTGCAAAAGATCTGTCTCCCTGTTTCCTATTGTCTTTTATTTTGCTCATTATTTATATTTTGAGGCTCAAACTTTTTCTCTGTCATCTCGCTACTTTTGGTGGGTTGGGGAGGTATCAGGGATCGAACTCGGGACCTTGTCCTTGCTATTCTTAACCCCAAAATTTAGTAAGTGTTCAGTAAGTAAAAATAACACCAAAAAATCATTGTTTTCAAGGCCTGAGGCTAGACGAAAAACTAACTTTGAGTGGATGAACCAAGGAAATTATTAGCTAAGACTTGATTAACAAGAAAGTATTTGTGGAGGGATTGAGAATGAGGCAAGCAGAGAAAATGAGACAAAGAAGATAGGTGTCAGGGTCTGAGTGACTACTCCAGGCATACAGGTCAGCAAGTGCAAAAGCAAAGGCCAGAGTGAGAATGGGAGTGTTAG